GGTTTTCAGCCATCCACTTTTGCCGGTGAGTAACTTCCTCATGCTTTTTGGGTTTGGGGCTTTCGAGCTTTGGGTCTTTGGGGTTTAGGGCTTTTAGGATTTCAGGGTTTCGGGCTTTGGGGCTTTGGGTGTTAAGACCTTCCGGCTGTCGGGGCGTGGGCTTTGGGGTTCGAATCTTTGGTGCTTCAGGATGATTCTGATATGACTAATGGGTAAACAAAAATCCATCAAAAGCTAGTAGTGCTTGATAACTGTTATATGTGACATACACACAAGTCTTGCGCCTCTTATCACCCTTCAAGAACCTGATTAGGTCGGAGACGCCAAAACACCTGAATTATTAAGGAGTAGACCTTACATGGTAATAGGAACCCCAACAAGGACCTGAAATTTAAATAGGAATCCCATTCAGAACCCTGAGCTATAGTATGACCCCTAGTAAGACTTCAAGCACATTGTATTCCTTAATCTGGTTAAGGAATATGCCTTAACTTGTTTTCGGACCCCTCATACGAATTTAAATATAATCCTGAACCCTGGCTAGACCTAAGAGTAGCCTAGGAAGAAAAAGGGTGCCCTTTTTTGGTTTAAAGGGTGTCATAAGGGAACATAAACACTTGCACCTACCATGACGAGGTGTTGATAGCCCCTATGGGCATCACTTTCCACAACCTCTACCTTCTTTTAACTCTAAAAAAGGGCATTAGGGGCTCTTCTGGATCCTAGCCTGGGGGTTTTGGAGCCTCTGGGTGGGCCGGATGGGAGGCCCGGACCACCGGAGTCGAACAACGGCCCGCCTTCCCTTGCAAGTTTAGGGTTTAGGGGGGGTTGGGGTTTAAGGGTTTAGGGTTGAGGGATTCGGGTTTAGGGTTGAGGGATTAGGGTTTAGGGTGCACTTAATCCAAGACTCTAAATTTCCCGAAGTTTGTACGATTTACGAGTTCTAAACCCCAAAGACCACTGCAAATAGACTTTAGACCCCGCAGAAGAAACTAATTGTATACTTAGAGTCTTAGGGTTATGCAAAGACTAAATTACATCCTCTAGCCATAAAGCCCCGCAGCCCCAAAATTTCAACGACCTACGGATCTATGCCCATCGCGATGAGGTTCAATGTGTAACATTCCGGACAAAAAGGCCTTTGAGCTGGTGACTGCAGGATCGTGGGACAGCATGACTAGGATACCCAGTAACCTAAGAATAAAAAGGCCTCTCTTTTTGGTATTGGGTAACTTTATATAAGGAACCTAGCCTAGGACTACAAAAAGGGAACAAGGGTACTACTGGGCATCCTAGATGATGTCTCGGAACGGTCGAGCCGCTTCAAGAGCGAGTCTCTCCTGTGTAGTGGATACCATTCCTGACTTCCTGGTTCAGTTATTGCTCAAAGAACCAGAAATTATCGCGTCTTCGTGGTCGCAACATCAGAAACTTTGGCCTTCACGATGGCAATCCTCAAGACAAAACGTAGAAGGCTCTACTACGACAAACCACTCTGATGCAGAGGACCGCACCCGTCGCAGGGCCCCATGGTAGGCCATTGTACCTGCAGCAGATGCACAGCATTGCTCCTCAGCGCCTCCCAAAAATTGGGATGAGGGATTAGGGTTTAGGCCGACATCTCCACACTCTGAATTCTCCACTCGACCACCAGGAAGAACAGTTCGCCAACTAATGCAGACATCTTTCAAGTGATATTGCGAGTAAGCAAGCAGCAGTCACACTACTGGGAGCTGTCCTAAGAATCATGAAAACGACCAATTCTTCGATATACAAGCAAACTGCTGCTGTTGGTGGCAGCGGTACTGAGTACTGTAGCGGTTATGCTGATGGTGGTGATGATGGTAGTGGTGGTAGCGGTGGCGGTAGTCGTCGTGGTAGAAGTCGACAGCTGTGGTCATCGTAGCAGCAGCAGCAGCAGCAGCGGCACCACCCGTCCAAAGTAAGCACCACGCCGCACTTCTAGATTATAGAATTTTCTGTTTTCAGGAAGACTGAGACTGTGGCCTAAGCCGAGAACTGCAAGCACCATCATGTGGGTGTCCTCGAAGACGCTGTAAAACCTGCCACAGCTTTACTCACTGGCCCAAAACCCACGGAAATAAAAGCTGAAACTTTCAGAATCGACTGCCTTATAAGAGCCCAAAAAGTCGAAAAGTTAAGCTTAAAGCCAATGAGTTTAAAGGTTAATGGAAGGGGTGCCTGAATGATTCCCCTAGAGTTCGGAGTGTATCCTGCTACCCGTCATGTCCAAAGCGGGGGCTGAGGGTTTAAGGGGGGGGTTAGGTAGGTTGGGAACAGTTGGCGATTTTTTTTGGTGGTTGGAATCCTATGCAAAAGCAACCCCTCACGTTATCATAGTGGAAACCCAATCCGTAACAGACCCGTAACCCCACCCCCTTCGAAACTTTAAGCCGTGATCGCGATCTCATCAGGGGTGCTGACAGCAGATTCCCAAACCAACGCCGAGCAAGGATTTTGAGTGGAGGGTTCAAAAGAAGAGCCTTCCAACATCCCCTAACCCTGAAAGAAAACACGGCATAGCGGTTAGGGTTAGTTTTTGTCTAAAACGAAACCAATGTCTTAGGAACCTGCTATGTCTCGTGAATAGGTCTTGGTTTAGATATCACGCTATCCAAGAAGGTGCCTCAAAACTATCCCTAATGAATACATATTGAATTTGGTGGCACAACAGAGAGTGATTGGGGGATCTGGCTACCTGTCGGAGCTCATTTCCCACCGAGTATTAAATCGCCCCGCCTGGAAGTCCTTGCATTAGGGGATTCGGTAGGGGGTCGCATGGGTCGGTGGTTCGATTCGATGACGACACATTAACCTTAAACATAGGCCCCATAGTAGTTCTGTTTGGGGGTTCATATGTAGAACTCCATAAGGTAATCCCCAAAAAGAACTATTATGGGGCCTATGGGCAAACTTAAGATGACATATGCCATATGCAAGTACGTAGCAGCGGAGGTCAGTGCAACTAATTCGTGGTTGAGTTGGGCTTCCCAGTGACTGTCCTACCTGCAGTGTCCATTGAGGTTCCGTTCTGGGGCTACCCAAAAGGATCTTTAGGGTTTACTTAAAGGATCATGGGACTTAGTAACTAGGGTTATAATTGAGGTAACTATACTTATAACTACTTATAACCCCAATTAAGGTACTTATAACCTTACTTACTAAGTCCCATGATCCTCCAAGTAGGGTTTAGGGTTTCGGATAAACATGGTGAAGCCAGAAAAAGAACTGCAATGGAGACAATAGGTATCGCTATCACTAGCATTCCCTGGGCATCAAAATCGCCCCAAAGCCAAAAGCCTTATATGGTATGGTCTTTGGGCCCAAAAGCCCTAATTTATGAGTCCTTAGATCCCTTTAAAGGACCCCTTATAGATCCCTTTGAAGGAACCTTATACTAGACCTAAGAGTAACTTAGGAATAAAAAGGGTGCCCTTTTTGGGTTAAAGGGGCTTATAAGGGAACCTGAACCCTAAAATAAGGGAATAAGGGCCTACTCTAGGTCCTAGTATATGAGTCCTTAGATCCCCAGGGATTCGCAGCAGCAGCAGCAATTAGTACCGACAATTCCTCGGCCCAAGTCTGGGCAGCCTCATCCAGTTACGGTTGACGATATGTATCCTGGGGTTCCTTTAAAGGGATCTATAAGGCTACCTTTAAGGGGCTCCTTTAAGGGATCTATAGGGTTTTAGGGTTTAGGGTTGTTATGTCTAAAGGTTATGGGGTTTAGGGGTTTAGGGGACTTAGGGGTTCTAGGGGTTTAGGGGACTTAGGGGTTCTAGGGGCTTAGGGGTTTAGGGTCTAGGGGTTCAAAGGTTTAGGGTTTTAGGGTTAAAGACTTCTGCCGCCCTAGCTACGGAAGGGATCCAGCGACATTGCATGACCAAGCCAAACCAAATAAGTGCAAGGGAGAAAAGATGCTTTGCTGTCAACCCCAGACAGGCCAGCCGCGCACTATAGTGTTCAGGAGGTAGGGCAGAACGCCCTCAGCACCAAGCATTCATGAATGATATCCTCTCGGCTCCTTCAACATATTGAGTTGAATATAGAAAAGTATATCGACACAACAGTAAAGCTGGTAATTAATTAGCAATTATTGTAACAGGAATCTTATGAACAGGACTGCAAATCAAGTCCGCCTGCGTGGCTCGTCCTTGCACACGACTCTACCGAGAAGAAAGCACCTCTTACCTGAAGATTGAAGCTATGGCTGTCCGCATCTGGCATCAGCCGACTCGTTGATCCGTTTTTGTACTGCCAGGACTACTGATTGACTTACTATCCATCGGCGGTCGTAGGTGCGATAGCATGGTCCTCTTCTCTTCGGGCTCTTCGTTCAGGTTCAGGTGTGCAGTTTGTTGTCTCTCCCATGCCACCTGCACATGCAGCATGCCGAGTTGTTTAGGTTTAGGTCATCCTGCCACTAAATCTACATCTCTCTCTCTCTCTCTCTCTCTCTCTCTTTCTCTCTGCCACCCTTGCTCTCCCTCAGTATTCTGCGACGAATATGGGCATCTGGAGGCTTCTAGACATCGCTGGAAAGGAACTGATAGATGTGCTCATGGTCTTACGTGTAGGAAGTACGGCGTATGCATCGAACTTCCTGCGCTTGCCAGGGGCTCAAGAACTTTAAGGGCAACCCTAAGGCAAACGCGGAAAGCCCTAAACCATACCCATGGCCCAGAATCCCTGCCTTTTTTTGACGTATGTAAGGAAACCCTTACAAGGAATCCTGGAGAAGTAGTTTTGGGGCTACACCTAAACCCCACCCCCAGAACATAATAACAATAATGAGAGTATTAAGAAAGATAGTGATAATGACAATAGTAATAATAGTCATAACAAAAACACTAGCAGTCAATAGCAGGGTGCCCAAAACCCCAAAACCCCTAAAGTTGCTCTCGCCCCGAAGAGTAGTCGCACTTCAGTTTTACTCGCCGCAAGTGCAGTTCGACGGAGCCCCCACAGTGCGACGCTGCTCACTTGCCTTTCCTTAGTGTAAAGGGTTTAGGTGCTTTTTTAATGGAGGGCAATGCAGAAGGATCTCTAGCAAAGCCTAAGCCCAAAAGTCAAATCATCAGGGGCCGCTCGCGTACAGTACTCCATTGTCCAACGGACGACAGCTGCCATTAAACAACCACATGTTCATAGTTGATGAGGAGTTGCCAGAATACAGATCTCTTGCAGTCCTTTCCTAGCGGAGCCCCTCTTTGCACTTGCTCAACTGTATATATCCTCACGAGAAGCGAAATATTGAGCATCCAGGATACCTTTGCAAGGAAGTTTCGATGGTTAGGGCAAAGGAACGATGCAGATGACGGTCGTACAGAGATAGGGTGCATCATGTTTGGTCAATCCGAGGCACTTGAGAAGGCAATCACGATATACTGACTACACACTGACGGTGCGGCGCAACGCCAATGGCAAGTATGGTGCAGATGTCCTAAACCCTCTGGGGCACTGAAGACAAATCCGTATTCAGGAAAAGGACACAACAAGAAGGATTAGATACAAAATAAAATCAACACACACATCCCACGTTAACGACCGGTACAGCCTATAGACTCTGCCGTCCTCAGGTATTGCATAGTGCCCAGCTTCTATGCTGTTCAGGTCTAGTGTTCGGCTGGAGGCAAGACATTTTTTGAGGTACAACGAGCTCCGGCCAGAGGTGCAGGCATCTCAGACATGTAGCGTGATCGGACTGAAGATCAGGAGAGGCGAGTCACCAACATAGCGTACCGGACAAATTCTCATTGTGGTTCCCAACACCTTCCTCCGTTTCCTTTCGCAGGTGGCTCTGTGGAGCATCCAAGACCACAGACTACGTACCTGAGCTGAAAAGAATGTATTTCCATCTGTGGTTCAGTCAAGTCCCTGATCCCTAAACCCTAAACTTAATATCCTGGTCCCTCTGTCCCCCCCCACCCTTCCCACCCGTCGTAAAATGCTTGGCAAGCTGCGGCAGGCACGCGGATGCTTCAGCTGACCTCAGAAATCAAGACCCTTTGGGTGCGTGTGACAGTGCATGTTTGGCCTGCAAATTCTCAGCCTACAGCTTCGACTTGGACATTTCTGGCTTTTTGCCTAGCGGGCCTAGCGATAGCTACCAATCAGCAGCCAGCGGCCTGCAAGCAGCCAAGCCAACTCGGAGCCATGTCTGTCTTTGTTCGTGTGAGCTCGCGCATACATGCATCTGCAGAATTTGCTGACCTGAGGGGTTAAGGGTTTGAGGTGCAGAGTTTAGGGCACAGGGCTGAGGATATTAGAAGCAGATGGGGAGTGCGTCAAGTCAAATCATGCGACGGCTGCTGATGTAGGCTTCGTGTGTGTATGTCTATGATTGCATGTGTATGTGTGAATAACTGTGAATATTTACATATTTATACACACACCCCAACGCGTGTATGTATATATATATATATATATGTATACATATTTATATGTATGTAACATACGCACATACATAGATATGTATATATGTATATACAGAAAAGCTCACGTATACATATGCACTTATACATGTACATATATAGACATATACATAAACATGCACGAACATAATGTACATGTACATGAATATGTATATACATACATATACATATGCATATATAAAGCGCCTAAACTCTCAAGTCTTCGAATATCTGCCACGTGGCCATTTGCAAACCGTATTGCGGCCTCGAGGCGAAGCTTTTGTGGGTGTGATGGCCGCGGAGTGTTGTGGATTATGGGACTTAGAAACTAGGGCCCCTTTAAGGGCTCCTTTAAAGGGGATCTATAGGGGTTCCTTAAGGGGATCTATAGGGTTTAGGGTTTTACGGTCTACTTAAAGGATCATGCGACTTAATAGCCGTTATAATTGGGTAACTATACTCATAACTACTTATAACCCCAATTAAGGTACTTATAACCTTACATACTAAGTCCCATGATCCTCCAAGGAGTGTTGTGGATTATGGCTGAGGGTCCAGGTGGACAGATAGGCAAATCAGACTACAGTAAACCCCATAAAGTTGGAAACCGGATTAAGGCCACAAAGTGCTGGGATTCTCTATACAATACTCTTAAGGATCGAGGCTATGGGGTTTCCAACTTTTGGGCTTCTAGTGTAGTTTGTTGCTTCGATGCAGGATTTGCAGAACAGGGGGGATGCTGATCTGTGTAGATGCATCCCGAACTGCAACCTGCCACGAGTCTCTCAATCCCACCTCCCGAGCAACAGCCCTAAACCGAGAATCGCCAAAGCTTGAAGCTCGAAGCCCCAAACCCTATGTACCCCTAAGCCTATAACCCTAAAACCACAACTTCTAAACTCCGTAAGAGTGTTTTGTTTCTGCTGTCGTTGCGTTTTTGCTGTCGTCCCCGGTGCGCTTTTTCTTTGCTGTCGCTGCGGGGCGTGTGTTTTTGCTGTCGTCCCCGGGGCTTTTTTTGCTGTCGTACCGGGGCCGGGTTCACCCACTCACTGGCTTCTTGGATATGCACAACGACAGCAAAAACACAACAGAAAGCAACTAATTACAGCAAAGAAAATGCACGGGTTTCCCCTGCACTCCTCTAGGGCCCAAACCGAAGCCCCGTCTTCCGAAGAGGCCCAGAAGCTCGGAAGAAGTCTGGGGCTTAGGGCCCTGTTTACTGTTTCGGATTTATTTACGGTTTAGGGTCAGAAGTCTCTCCGACTTGACCCCTATGGCTGGAATAGAGCAACTCCAGATGACTATGCACCCTACTAACCTCATGGAACCCGAAACCCTACAGCGCAAGAGCTAAATCCCTGCACCAGGCTAAAGAAGCTGACGGCGCTGATGGACTTCTGACACGGAAGTTGAACGCTCGGGGTATAAAGAAGGTCAGAAAAGCAAGTAAGGGTATGGAGTGGGGCTGAGGCTCAAAAGCTTACGGCGAAATCTTAGCTTCAAAAAATAAGGGACCACTCAAAAAGAGCCCAGACCAGTACAGAATGCAAGCTCCATTATGTTCAGGAACCCTGAGGAATATGGTTGATGATATAAATCCTGCATTACCCATAAAATAAGGAATTTACCATAATTCCCATAGTTTAGGGTCATTAACGTAATGTAGGATTCATATCATCAACCGAAGTATTACGAACGATTCAAGCCCCATGTGGGGGTTTCCGACAATAGGGGACCCTAATATAGCACCCTTAATAGTAGGATCCTTATTATAAGGACCCCAAGTAAGGTATCCCTAATTTTCGGAAACTCCCAGGTATAGTGTGGGCACAGGCCTCCACCCTGATCTTCGCAGGCATCCTTCGAGAAGGGCTTCATCGGCGATCGGGCACGGAGTGGCTTTACGGGTTATGTAATATAGGGGCCTTAATAATTAGAATAGGGTTCCCTTAAAGGAATCTTCTTGAGGGGTCCATAAGGGACCTATAAGCGGGTTCTATAGCATAGGGGCCATAAAAATTAGAATAGGGTTTTGGGGCCCATGATGCTATAATCAAAATCAGGAACCCCAAATCCCAAAAGAGTACTGGTACTTACATAGGCCCCTTTAGTACAGGCTCTTGAGATGAAGGGTTTCAGGGCACGCGAGGACCCACTGTCCTCTTTGTCGATGGGCTCGGAATTCGTGTTGCAGCCGCACCAGATCTCTGTGCCTGTTTCAAGTTTCACGGAATCACATATCTGTCCCGCAACCCTCAGTCTAGAAAGCAGACCTGATGGTTATAGACTCCACCCTCATCGGAGGAGGGGAACCTTTTCTAGCACAATTCGGGCTATGTTTTGTGCAGGTCTTTTCAAGAACCCGGACACGTAAAAAACAACAGGGTAGTTGTCAAAACTAGGGTCCCTTTTTTGATACCTTAAATATTGGGTGCCGTATTTTTATAGGGAGCCCAAAAGGGACCATGATTTTGACAACCACCCATCAAGGCCCCTTCATGCCAAACCCTTTTGAACCCGGACCCCTACAGGGAACTCCAGAAAGTTGGAATATGGTTTCATGGTAGGATACCCTATAATTTACCATAGAAGGGTTAGGATAATCATATTCCAGGCTCTTACCTTAAAGCCTCAGCCCTAAACACTGGAAGAAGCTTGAAGCTACTTGACCCTAAACCCTGGAGTCTATATTGCACCCTAAAACCCAGGATCAGAGTCTCCAAGACACTTTATATAGGCGCCTTAATAATTAGAATAGGATTCTGGGGCCCACTGTACTACAATTATAACAAGGAACCACCAAAATAGTATAGGTAATCATTTAGGCCCCTGTGGTAAGCCGAAACCCTCCATGCGAGGATGCATAGGGCTTGGGGATCATACCATTATTACTACGATTGATGATAGAAATCCTGCATTACCCACAATACGGAATGTATCATGATTCCGATAGTTTAGGGTCATCCAGGCAATGCAAGATTTATATCATCAGCCGTAGTATTAAGACATTGAGAGACTCTAGGTTGAATGATGACCAGATTATTTTCTAATTCACTTTAAATTCGGTTTAGATTCGATCAACAGATTCAAACTCAGGTTGTTCCCAGGATCGATCATTCAATTCGACTTTGATTCAATCTACGAAGGCCTATCCCCCGTGGCATTTTACTCGAGGGACGAGTTTCGGGTCGCACATAGTTAGGATGAACTTGAAGACCGCAGGAGCTCAATTTGTAGATCTGCTGAGTATATATCAGAGTCCTGGGCTGGGGCTGGGCTGAGCTGCCACGGCTCGGGCCTGGGCTGGGTTGCTGGGGCGGGCCGGGCGCTGGGCGGATTGAGGAGGAGGGGGGGGTCCCGAGGCAGAGGGTGACCCCCCAAAAAATGTGAATTGACAACGCATTTATTTTGATCTTTTTTTTGAATTCAATTTGAATTTGTTTTGAATTCAATTCGCAAATGTTTTGAACTTTTTTTGAATTCAAATTGAAGTAAAATTGCATTATTTCCTAGGAAGGGATCAATTTCCAGGATCCCGACCAAACCCCCCCACCCCCACCCACCAAGTGACCCCCCCCCAATGCGACCCTCCCCCTTCCACGTTCCCAAGATCGGTGTGGCTCTGACCATCCTGTCAGCCTTTTAGCTCTTTCGGCTGTAGAATCACATTCCAAACTCTCGCATCTAGACTAGCTAGAGTGACTGCGTAAGGGCAGGTCCTTTACACAGGCCAAAGCTGAATTGAAATAGAATTCAGTCGCATTGGACTCCGCTGCGTCACAACTGGGTGAAATGAACCCGAATTCAATCCGCATTGGATTCCAAGGCCTCAAAACCGGATGCATTGAAAACGAATTGCCTCAGCGAATTGAAAACGAATTGAAATCGAATTAGAAAATATTTTCGAAAGTCCTTTCCTAAAGGGAATTCTATGTCATAACCGTAGTATTAGTATTGCTATTATTCCCAGTATTGCTATAAGTCTTCAGGGTTTTCGGTTCGGGACGTGGGTGCCAAAGGTACCCATTGAGAGCCTTTGCTAACCACCTAGCGGATGGGTATAATCGAGGGATACCGTTAAGATTGTCGTCAAACGTGCAAGGCCAGCGTGTTCAGGGACCCCTAAACCCTAAACCTCGCTTTTTCACGCCCGACTTCCCCAATTCAACTAGCTGGGGACTCGCCTTTCTTTGCCTTCTTCCGGGCTGCGCACTCCTGTCGGGGGCTTTCGACATGCCCCAGGGAGCGGTATAAAGAAGCAGGGGATCATGACAACAACGACTGAAAGCTCATAGCATACCACTGTGGATGATGGAAATAACACAACAGCAACCATCACGATGATGATGACGACAACGACGATGCAATGCGCGATGCGATGTGCATCATCATCTTCTTCGCCATCATAGCCATCGTCATTATCAATATCATCAGGACGTACCGTGAATTCAACAGCTGCTCTCACAACATGAAACATGTCAATAATCTACGCAAGCACAAACTCAGTGAGCCCCAGAGCCTGGTATTGTGTTGATTGTCAACTGTGGTCAACCCCCACCCGCCAGCCAAGGTTGACGGCAGGACGACGGTGCGAAGGAGTCTGTAAACTGAGCAGGGATTGGGAACCACACCAAATCTCAATAATCTGCTCCCCCACTCCTTCGCCGTTGGTTGCTTGGCCTGTCGTGTGGCCATGGGAAGTGGCCCTTTGTGGTCATGGTAAAGCTGTGTAGGCACTTTTACAAACGAGTGATGCTTTCAACCAAACCTGCCCCTTCATCCTAGATTCCTCTGCTGGACTGATCCGGATGCCAAACCCTTCTTGTAAATCTTCTTTCACAAGCCCACAATGCATGCGGTTTAGGTACTTGACTCTAACCCCAAAACCCATAAACCCTAAACCATAAACCCTAAACCATAAACCCAAAACCCCTTCCTAAACCCCTACAGCCCGAAACCCCAAACCTCTAAAACAGCAAAACCCCAACTAAACGCCTAAACCCTAGACCCTGAACTAAATCTCGGTAACCTCAATGTTGGCTGACTGAAGCGCCGACCAGACACCCTGAGGTCCTACAAAAGCCTAAGCAATTAACGACCTAAAGGGTTTTGGTTAAGGGGGTCTACGGTACAGGGTTTAGTGGTTTAGGTTAGAAGCTGCCCCCACCCTGTAATAGTGACTATCAGGATTATATTAGGTCCCCATTATATTCCTATTATACCATTATTACAGGGTGGGGGCCCCTTCTAAGGTTTAGGGTTTTGGGGGACGAGGGTTTGGCTTTATTTCGGTTGAGGGGGGCTCTGGCTTTGGGTTGTTTATGACTTTGGGCGATTTCAAGGAGTTCAAGCGATGGAAGAGTTCAGGGTTTAGGGCTTCAGGGGTACATGTAAGGTGGTTGTGAGAATTAGGGTCGCTTTTTTGGGTACCTGAAATATTAGGTGCAGTATTATAATAGGGACCCAAAAAGTGACCGTAATTTTGACAACCACCCATGTAGGGTTTGTGGCAGTCCGAACTATAACAAGACTAGGGTTTGAGTGGCTGTGTACCATTAAACATACGACTACTTGGAGGATCATGGGATTTAGCAAGTACGGTGATAAGTACCTTCATTGGGTTATAAGTAGTTATAAGTATAGTTACCCTAATTATAACCCTAGTTACTAAGTCCCATGATCCTTTAAGTAGTACTAGCTACCCAAGCCCGCATTGATTATGCCAATTTGGTGGCACATAATCTCAGGCCTTATAATCTCAAGTGCTTTGCCTCAGCCCCTACAGCCCCCGCCCTAACTTTGAAACGATGCTCCGGCCTGATACCGATTTATGTATAATAAGACAGTATACTAGCTGGGAAGTGGCCCCACAGAAAGAGTGGGTCACAGTGCAACTGCATGCAAAACTGATAGTATACTGAAACTAGGAGCGCTGAGGAAGCACACCATAAATTGCCACCCACAGCCCTAGAACCTTTAGCTCAATCTGCCGCAGCCTTGCTCGATCCAGACTCTTCCGGCGTCTTCGCCTGTCTTGCTACTGGAGGCCGGTCTTTTTGGGGTTCGGGGTGGGGGGGGGGGGGAGATAGAGGATGCTCAGGTTCATCTTAAAGAGGGTTCTGAATCACTAAATCCTGAACCCTACATGAACCTAAAGGCCCTAAAGCCTAAAACCGGAACCTGACTTAAGCAGCCAGCACTCAAAGATGCCACCGAGCTGCCGAATCTTTCGAGTCTTTTTCAGGTCCTTCTTCAGCCTCGCGCCCATCATTTCGACTTCACCGTTCAGGTGCTTTCGGTTAGGGTTGAGGGTTTAGGGTTTGTAAAGGGTTAAAAGGGTCTTGGGGTTGGGCTGTGAGGACCGGGCCCCAAAGTGAATGAATTTGACAAACCATTTAGGGTTTAGGGTTTTGGGTTGCGGATTCTGGTGTCGGACATCTGTGGCTGGCCTCTGCAGGTGTACGGCCAGACTTGCTGGCACTAAAAATCAAGACAGCATTGCTCCAGATGGTGGCCGCAGTAAGGCTTCGGACAACAAGATCTGTAATCGTTTTACACTTGCTCATATCTGCAGGTTACAATGCCTGGGCCTCACCCATTCTTCGAAGAGGTCTGCCCTTGTGGAACTATTTCAACAATGCTGCTAGAGGCTTCAAGCTGCACCGAGTGAGTCTATGGCAGAGCTCACCATCAAGGACAACAAGCGGATCTCAGCATTGGGATACAAGTCTGAGCAAGACAAGACGTCGCAGCGAACTCCCGAATCTCTCAACAAAAAATCCTGAACCCCTAACCTCATCCTCATCCTCATCCTCCTCCTCATCCTCATCCTCATCCGCTTCTTTGTCCTCGTCCTCATCTTCGTCCTCGTCATCTTCGCCGCTTGAGCCTGGGGGATGACATCTTCGAGCTACAGTAGAAGCCAGAAAGTTGGAATATCATTATCGTAAAGGGGTTGGTAAATTATAGGGGATCCTACCATTAATCCATATTCCAACTTTCTGGAGTTCCCTATAAGGGTCGTGGCTCATTCAGGACACTAGGATACCCAGTAACCTAAGAATAAAAAGGCCTCTCTTTTTGGTATTGGGTAACTTTATAAGGAACCTAGGACTACAAAAAGGGAATAAGGGTACTACTGGGCATCCTAGGACAGCTTCAGGCTGCTTCTCGCCAGGTATTTGGACTCGCAAGGCGGTTTAGGGTTTAGTGGCTTAATTCAGGGTTTAGGGTTTAGGGTTTAGTGGGTGAATTAAGGGTTTAGGGTTGCGAGTGCTGAAAACTCTTGAATGCTAATTTAGACCAAAAGATGGAAAATGCTTGCTAGGGCCTGGCAAGCATTGTACATCCGCCAGGGTAAGAACCCCCGGCGCGTCCACCTAAATAACCACGATATGATAACACGTCATTATGATGATGGTGTTGATGGTGATGAATCAGTGATGAAGCAGAAGATGATGATGAGGATGACGATGATGATAGCCGTTATGCTGATGGTTCGTTCGCCCGGCATCGCTGGGAAAATGTGTCATTCCTGTCCGTCCTGCGCATAGCAAGTTTAAGAGGTGCAGATTGAAGGGTTGCACCTCATGACATGTTGTTTTCCATCAAAGAACCAGGAATTCCCGCAAGCCCCTCAACCCTAAACCGTACCGAATGGCTCCGAATTGAGACGACACACCCCGAACCCTATTCTAATTATTTAGGCCCCTACATTACTACCTTCCTGAAATCTACCCGAAGCACCGCTGTTGGAGGCTCGAAACCCTGCGTCCCAAACTTTATGGGCCGTTCAAAGGATCTGAGGCGCGGACTACTGGAGGAGTTTGAGGAATTGAGCTCATCGAGATCCGCATCCAAGACGTTCTGGAACTCTTCCATGTGCTCCCTCAGCTTAGTGGCTGACTCTGAATCCTCAGCCCGAAACCCTAAGCCCCCAGTATTTTATAGGGGCTTGAATAATTGATTGCCAAGAATTTTCAACAAGGTTCTTCATTAATCCATGCTTCTAAGCTTTGGACCATGGATTTGTCGGAATTAGCAACCCCTACGTCCAAAAAACACATGCAGGGTCCATGGTTGCCGAGGCCGAGTCTCCCATGTTGATTCTTCAAAGAAGTGCGCATCATGTGGATGAGCCGATGTTGCTTCCGTTCGCCATCATCCAGATTGCGCATGCTTTGCTCGTACTTGTCCTGTCCAGAAGCCGCAACTTGATTCTTACCTCACTACATCCTAGACCCTAAGTGAACCCCAAAGCGAGTTGGACGAAGATCGGGATGTTCGCCAAATCGCAGTATCTTGTCGGATGGCTACATATGATGTCTGTACTCAAAGCTCCAAGCCTCTCAAGCTCTACCGAAGTCTCGCACCTCGAATCTACAACTCCTATAAACCCGGACCCCAAACCCGAAACCTGACACCCGAAAAAGCACGCCGTAAGAACCTCCAAACACTGCAATCGCGAACAAATCGTAAAACAACATCGCAGCTTCTGCCTAGCGCTTTGTGATGAATCCTTCCCATAGTGCTTAGAGCGCAGAAAGCCCTATCTTGAACTACCAAAACCTACGTGTTTTGCAGGGCCCCTACACACTTCATATGAGCCTTAAAGTAGGTTTTGGAAGTTTAAGGCAGAGCCTGACCCCTGGAAGCCTCCAGCACTTGCAGTCTTCAAGCCCTGGTACACAAAAGGGGCAAAGCGCCCAAATCCCAAATGATTCAATAAACCCTACTAAACTCAGAAGCTGTAAACCCAAATTCCTAAACCCAAAGCAGCCCTACATCCCAAAGTCCAAAACTCAAGAACACTTGATCCCGAACACCCTAAACTCCTCGTCATTTCTGAAACCAGCAACCCTGAGCACCTCCGCCCTACACAAGCCGCATAGTATAGGGGCCTTAATAATTTGGAGGTGTAATTTGAGGGCCCATTATACTGACTATCTGAAGGTAGCAATGTAGGGGCCTTAATAAATTAGACTGGGATTTGGGGGTATATCATACTACAGTTACAAGAAGGAGCCCGCCCAATAGGATAGGTAATTATTAAGGCCGCTATATTAGGGTCTGGAGTTTACATAGTTCCGGATTGTGTTGGCGCCTTTACCACTGGACGAGCCAGCAGAACTCTTTGGAACGCTTCAAGCGCGACCCTGGCCGACAAAATCGTGACATCAAACCTGCACGCCACCTAGACACTATCCAAAAAAGCACCGAAAGCTTGACCCTCAAACCCATTAACCCAAGTCCTATACTCTATAACCCTAAACTCCCTTCAGGTCCATTGCAAGCGTCCTTCCGATTCAGATAGACATCCGTTGCATCTATGAGGGGGCCTTTCACCTGCAAAATAGCTACGATTTAAGTCCGGCCTTTGGGGTTTAAGGTTTCAGGGTTCTGTAGAAGGCTTGATCTTAAGGTTCTATATAAGGGTTATGAACTGCATTTAGCAGTTTTGGGGGGGGTTCGGATCTGGGTTTGGGAGATGTCCTAGACTCCCCCCCCGCCCCCGCAACTACCCACTAATATACCTTAAATGAAACTGATACCCACTATATTCAGGACCATAAGGGCTCCATTGAGAGGCCGTTGGGGGCTCCTGGGTGGGTCTATAGGGCTCAGGGGTTGAAGCTTCAATTCTTGCTCCTGGGACCTCATCAGTGAAAGTTCCGGAACTGGGAGAGACTAAAGGAACCCATATGGGAGTTTCCGAAAATAGGGGACCCTAATATAGTACCCTGAATAGTAGGATCCTGATAAAAAAGGACCCCAAAATAAGGTATCCCTATTTTCGGAAACTCCCACATAGATCCCGTTAAAGCCCACATAAAAGCCCTGAACCCTTAGACTGACTAAACCCTGAACCCGAGATCCGGCCTGATTTGTTGCGGGTCTGGCGAGACTTTTGACTCTCGCGGTTCAGGACTTCAGGATTTAGGGGCTCAGCGTTTCCATCGTACGCTCGGGTGTCGAAAACGTGTCGAATCTTGAATTAAGCATTTCGAGTGTTAGAGTAGACTCCCAGTGTTGGGCAGGCTCCTGTCAGAGCGACGGCCTGGCTCCTTCCCAGCTTGATTTGAGTACTGTTGAACCCTAAACCCTAAACCCTGAACCAAAACCCTAAACCCCTAAACCAAAACCCTAAACCCTAAACACCCAAACCCTGAACCCTAAACCCTAAACCTGCAGCTTGGAATGCGTCAGCTCCTGCAGGACATTGTCAAAATCGACATGCGGGTGTTGTTCGTCTCGTGCGGGCTCTTGCTAATTAAAGGTTCAGCAGTTCTCTGCCCAACTCAACAGACACCCAAGCTCGCCTGAATTCTAATCACATTTGTTTCCACAACTCATGGCTTCGACCCTGTCCGCTGCTGTCCTATGCAAGCTTTCCTCTCTGCCCGCAAGTACGAGCTTCGCCTCATCTTGAAATCACAAGTTGAGCAACAATGCATCGCAAGCCTCATGATGAACCTCTCTGTAGTAGTGAGCTTGTTGAGCGAGCACCATTCAGGACTGTCGTCCCGCCCGCCCCTGTCCAAGCCTTCAAACCCAAACCATCCACTTCATCGGAATCCTGTGTAACGGTATGTCGTTGCGCAGCATTGGAACGCACCAACAGGGCAAGCACTGGGGAGAGAGGTTGGCACAACTTCTTTCAGCACTTTATGGCAACATGACATAATATTATGGGGCTAGAAACAGGCAGCAGCTGGCAATGACAACCCCATATCGTCCTGATGAATTTATAACACAAAGAAACACCCCAGCCTGCGCACCCTAAGCCCTACTGCAACTACAAGTCCTGAAACCCGTGTACTACACAGTGACTGGGTACCCCCCTGGCCTGAACCTGATAGTTGCGGCTAGCTTTCAGGAACGCCTCCGTCCTGAGGAGACAGCCGGTTTAAGCGAATGAGGAGTTTAGGGTTGAGGGTTTATGGGTTTAGGGAGTTACAGTTTGAGTCTTTCTTTAGGGGTTTTCGGGGTTTAACGTTCGGGGTTTCGGGGTTTAGGGTTGCAGGATGAGTGGTTTGGGAAGGCTTTGGTGGTTTATCCTATATGTAGGTGTTGTCCGGTGTAGTGTTTCAAAGTGTCACCTCCATGTTGATACCTTCTGCAGAAGAAAGGACTTGTTTTGCATCGTCTCTATTACATGAGAGGCTTGCAAACAGCTCTGCCCGCCCCTGAGCCCTTGCACCCTAAACCCTAAATGCCCTAAACCTGAACCCTTGGACTCTAAACCCCCCCAACTCTAGGCCACCAGGCCCTGAAAACGATACCCCAGCCAGAACGGCAGGGGTTTAAGGGTGCAGTTTAGGATGAGATTAGGGTCGTAACGTTGTTGGGCTGTTCTGGGGTTCGGGGAGTAGAGCTTCGGGCAGTAAACCGCAACATGTAGTGCTTGTTTAGGGACTCTGGCTTCTTCACACAGGATCCAAACCATAGAATATGTTATCCCAAAACAGGGGCACTACAGGCTGGGGCCTAATGCCGCGAAACCATTCATGGGCTTAGGACATGGGGGTTCAGGGCTGTAGGGTATGGCAATGGGGCGTTAGGGTATGGGGATTTAGGGTGAGAATCCACGGTGATCTGAAAGAGCCTTAACAAACCAACCGCCCGTTGTCACGAGTCCTTGCGTGCAGTGCGGAATATGCGATGGAGCCGTTGGAGAGGTTGCCTTGTCGATGCTGAGAGAATTCGGGGAATTTGGGCTGAAGTATGAGGCTGTAAGGCCAGAGGAGCTCGATTTCTCTTCGTTTGAATGGCTTGGGGGTGTGGGTGTGGTCTAGGCTTTTGAGAGTTCAGCTGTTCAGTTTGGAGGACTGGGGGTCAAGATGCCTACTATAGGGGCTTTGGGGCCCCATTATATTATAAGTATAATTATAATAAGGACCCCCCCCACAAAAAAAAAGAGTATAGGGAATTATTAAGGCCCCAATAATACAGAGTTGAGGTTAATGCGGCTTAATCTAGGCTTCAGCTGGAAAGGACACCCAGTCTTTTGCAGGGTTTCCGCTTTTCCGTGCAAGTGCTGCAGGGGATATCCTGGAGGCCTGGATATAGCGCTGGGGTTTGGAGACGGGGTGTAGTGTTTGACTGCAACATATATTCAACTTCACCTACCCACCATGAATGCCTCCTGTGAACCAACCCAATAAAAGAGCAAAGTGCGAGTCATAGGATTAGGGCAGGGTTCCGGTCCTTCGCAGGATCTAGTCTCATAGAAGGACATTGCCGGAATGCCCAAGGCAACCCCATGCATCGCACACGCGGTCTGCCGTTGCGGCTGCGACCGCCTCTCCCTCTCTCTCTCTCCTCCTTCTCTTCTCTCTTTATATGTTTCTATCCTTCGTTCATTCTCTCTCTCTCTCTCTCTCTCTCTCTCACTCTCTCTCTTGCTATCTCTATCTCTCTCGCTCTCGCTCTGTTGGGCCCCCGAAACCCTAGACTGTGATGTGATTTCTGGTTTTATCGCCAATTGCGACCCAAATGCCTTGATCTTCGTCCAGCATCGCAGGCCTTCGCAGTCGGAAATACAGGGCAAGAGAGGTAATTACAGTGTTTCGCGTTTATAGGGTTTGGACAGTAGGTTAGTGTTTTGGAGGGAGTATATTCTACTATGCGTACAATCGGAACTTTAAGCAATAAAATATTTCTAGAAGAAGAAAAATCGCCGCAAGTGCGGCAACAACAGCAGCAGCAGCGACCGCTGTCGTGATCGTCGTCGCAGTGCTCAACGGTCGCTGGCAACAACAAGGATAACACCCTAAACCCTAAACCCCTAACCCCAAACCCCTAAAGCCTAAACCCTAAACCCCTAAACCCTAAATCCTAAACCCCTAAACCCTAAACCCTAAACCCCCAAACCCCTAAATCCTAAACCCCTAAACCCTAAACCCCTAAACCCTGAATCCCTAAACACACTCTCCTCAAAGCTCCCGGCCCAGAGCCTGAAAGCCTAAACCAAAATCCCCCCACCTTAGACCCAAACCCCAAGCTTCAAAAGCCCTAGTCTCGCCTGACATCTTCAGCATCTGTGCTGAGGATATGCAAGTCTAAGCCTCGGACTCGGTTGATCAGTTTAGGGGTTTTAGGTTTAAGGGTTTTGGGTTCAGGGGTTCAGGGGCCGAAACCCGGGATAGGATGCCTTTCAGGGCTCTTTAAATTCATCAGGGTCTCTTTTTTGTATAAGTTCTATGATAGAGAGGCCTGAGTGATCAGACATGAGGGGTTCAGAGTTTGGGGTTCATGGTTTAGGGCTTTCTAAACGGTCTAAGAACTGTAACTGTAACCCCGCATGGTGTATCAGACGAGGATGTGAAAGCTCAAGTCTGAGCCTTGCACATTGAGGTGGTAAACACTCTGAACCCTAAACCCTAAACCCCAAACCCTGGTAACCACTCTGAACCCTGAACTACACAATCGCAAACTCATGCAACTTATGCACCCACGCACAGACCAGGCCCATGTTCCGGCCTCTTCCCCCGAACTGCAAACCCTAAGAGCCCTAAGCCATAGGTTTTTTAAAAACCTAAAAACCTATGTTTTTTAAACCTATGCACTACGGTTTTTTAAAAAACCTATAAACCAAAATCAAGCCTGTCTACCGTTTTGTGCACTGAACCCGACTCCCTAGCCCCAAGCCTATCAGCAACAGAAAAATTGTGGCCAGATGGTCGAGTGGCCATCACGTCTCTCGCTCCAAGCCAACCTAACGGCCAATGCTACCTCAGGCGATGCATTTGGGGGTGCGGGTTTGTAATTGTAGGGCTTAGGGTCTTGCTCGGGGCGCCTGCGGATAAGTAGTGATGTCATTACATAGTACACTCTTCCCTAAGGCCCCAGTCGCATTATTGAGGCCTACCGGCGAGAGCATTGGTGGACGCCAAGCGGCTTAAGGCTGGGGGGTTTAGGATTGAGGATAATCTAAAGTTTAGGGTTTCAAGGAGTTCCGATTTGAGGTTTTGGGTTGGCACTATGGATATCAACAGTCCGCAAGACCTGATGCTCGGCGGGGGTCATGCTTCTCTTAGGGCCTTGGGTCGAGTTCTACCGGTGGAGCGGAAGGAGCTGGATTGCCCTGTGGAGTCTGAAGCGTCACGTTTCATATGGGGCCGAGGCTGATTTCAAAGATGCCCGACAACTGAGAGTGACCTTAATCTTGGAAAGGTTGCTGCAACAACAAAGAAGAGCCAACGGACGAAAACACCAATCAGTTGACATGCCCTATCGTCGCCTGGGACGTAGGGTTCAAGAGTTGTTTTAGATGCCCTCAGCCAAAGTAAGGAGTCGAGGGGCTAACAGCCACCGTGGCCAGCAGCCGTGCGGCAGACGCATATCCTGCCGACCTTTGCTGCTCCGCTTCTGCAAGAACCCCGGGTCGAGTCGAGGGGAGGAGGCGGTTGTAAAGGTTTTGATTCCAACTCGCATTTTGCGGGGTTCAAGGGTAGCCTCCCTAAACCCTAAACCCTAAACCGTAGCCTTGTTTCAGGATTTATGGAGGGTTGGGTGCCACACCGGGCTTCGGATCTACCGTTCTGGTTAAGGGACGTTAACGTTACAGGATGCGGGAAGAGGACGAAGCAGGAGTTGCACTGTTATCTTGCCACGGCTCCTGAGAAACAGACTTGATCTGCAAACTTCATGTGCGTTACGCCCGCCGGACCTTGTTGCATCAGTTAGGTTGGATCTTGCAAGTAATCTAGGCCAGCCACCCTGAGCATTTAGGCCTTAGGGCCATATATGGTTAGTCTTGAGAAGTTAGGGTTTAGAGCTTACGCCGCAAGCCCGCAAGCACTACGGTGAGAACCCAATTGAACACCAGCCTCCACAGTAGACTTTCAAACTTCCACACATCCATTCCCCTCAACTACTATTTGCTTAAGAAACCACCAAAAAAATAATCCCTATATTACCCCCATAAGGAATATATTGTTTTGTTATTTTTTGGGGGTTCTTAAGCAAATAGTAGTCAAGTCAAAGCCCGAAGCCCAAACATTGATTCACCTGCCAAAAAATCTCCTGACCCGCCCGACAGCTCAAGATCACACCTATAAGTCTAAGCCGAAATCAAGAAAGTAGTGATCCTAAATCCTCAATCAACAATTCAAACTACCCATAGGCCCCAAAGTAGTTCCTTTTTGGGATTACCTTATAGGATTCTAGATATGAACCCCCCAAAAAGGAACTACTTTAGGGCCTTAGGGGAAGCCCTACAAACTCTAAGCTGCCTTTTTAAGGATTTATATAAGGAAATCATAATAAGGACCCTAAAAAGGTAGGTTATTCCGGGTTAAGGTTCAAACTAAGCCCTACAAACGCTAAGCTGCCGGGAAGCTCAGGCAGATCCAGCACGTCGTCTTCCGCTCGGAGGAACAAGGCTCAGCCTCTCCTGGCTTTACTCTACTGGCTTGGGTTTAGGAGACTATACTGAACTGAGAACCCCAGCAAAATTTTTGTGGCTGTTTCTTAGGGATTATCATAACCAAAAGTTAAAAGTTATTTCTAAGTACCCCTAAGGAGAGGGTTTGGGGTTCAGGGTTCTCCTGGCTTTACTGTACCGGTCGAACAGGGCCTGACAACTAGGTATAGTCTCCATTGTACTTCGTTTTGTTGGCTTAACCAAGTAAACAAACTAGGATGCTTTAAGGTAACCCCCAAAAGGAACTACAACGGAGACTGAAGGTAGGTACTTGGGTTCAGGATAGGGTTTGGGGTTTAGGGCAGTCATGTAGGTTAGTACCTTGGAGAGTAACTGCTCATTCGGTACTTGGACCCTATAAGGTGGGGTATATAGTATGCCAAAATTACAATAAGGAACTATAGGTAATGATTCAGACCTCTATATAAGAGATCCTACGAACATTCTATGCAGGCTCTATGAGGCTCAAGGCCAGAACTACGGTTGATGATATAAATCCTGCATTACCCAGAAGAAGGAATATACCATAGTTCCCATAGTTTAGGGTCATTATGATAATGCAGGATTTATATCATCAACCGTAGTGGGTTCTACATTGGCTCTGGAAGGCTATGGTTGTTTGGCTCAGCTGAATCATAAGTTCAGGCTTTCGGGGTCTAGGGTGCCTTTCAACATTTTGGGGCTGTTGGGATCGTTTGGTTGGGGATTGTCGGGTTTGCAGACTATTAGGTTCGTGAATATGAACGTTGCCATGTTCCGAATTTGGATGTGCGGGGCTTCTGGGATTAAGGCTTAGGGTTTCGAGACTTCAAGCGAACTCCAATTTACACAGCAAAATGTTGCCGTCCTTGGTTTCCTGAATTTCGCATATAGACCGTGGGGTGTGTGCGCTTCACTGTAGGGTTTCATGTAAAGGAACTCTATCAAGTCATTACTGTGTTTGAGTGAATTTGTATATACAATGTACACATACATCATATTCATATAAACACATATACAAAATTGTGTGCTTGTATACACTTTAAAACATATGAATACCTGCATGCGTACATACATACAGACAGAAAGGCAGTTGCTGTGACAGAGATGGGCGAACATGGGCTCTTAGAGCGAGGTTCTGCTAGTGCAGCTGTACGGTGATTCTGTACGAATGATCCTGCTGACCAGTCCACTTTCCGCTTCCCTTCTGGAGGGTTCAGCCCTCTTTCCTGGAATCCTTTCTAGTTACTAAGTTACACCTATCATGAGTCTTTATATATGCTACCAGATACTTGACCAGGCTCACTTACCAGCACCGTTACCTCTACGATGCCATCATCGCCCAGCAGTGATGATAGAAACAGATAGGACATGGAACAGCAGTTGAAGATTACTACCACCGCTACAGCCACCTCGAGCGCCGCAAAGCTTAGCCGCAGCAACACGAACTTCATTCTTAGACTGTTGTGCCGCTGAGGTTCCATGAGAGAGGAACAGCCTTGGAAGACCTTTCGGCTAGCGACAGTCGCTGAGCACAACGGCAGCGGTGAAGACTGGTTCGAGAAGATGTCGGGATTCCGACAACATATATGATAACCTTAAGCCTTATAAACCCGAAACCCTGAACCCTAAACCCCTAAACCCTAACCCATAGATCCTCAGTTGGGGACTCTCAGTTCGAGACTTAGAGTTCAGGGTAATCTCTCGAAGCTGGAAAGAAAAGGACGGGGAACAGGAACGGCAACGTATCGCCCAGGCTTCAGGGTCTAGGGAATTACGATCCACCGCCTGGATCTGAAGCCATGCAGGGATGCGGAATCTAATCTGGACAGATAACTGCACCCCTATACCCTATACCCCTAAACCGAAGTTTAAACCCTACACCCCCAACTCCCTAAGTATGAAGATACGGGCAGCCGTTGGTTTCGTACGGACAGGCTTAGACGCGCAGAGGGATCTTGTCGGGCTACAGAACGAAAGACTGCCTCGAACCTTGAGAGACCCCGCCCTAACATGAAAAGGGCAAAAGGGCACTACCCAGGAACCTAGTAGTACAGGGGCCAGGAAGCCTCAATAATTACCAATATTACTCCTGCCGCAGGGTTCCTTCCTACATTCATGGATATCACCAGAATATTAGATCCCCAAAACCCTATATTCTGAAGTATCCTGGCTTCCATGTTAGGTTTCCTGCTTCAGCACTCCGAGGGTGAATAGCTTGCTTTGGGATGCGGCTTTTTTTAGGAAAGCTGGGTACAACGTGCGTCTGATGAACTTGTCGCAGCTAGCAGTCACACAGCTCGACCCTAAGCTTCAAGACAAGCTTGACGGTCATTCCGACCTGCCTTGAATTCGGTATCAAGCCGTCATGGTTATATGGTGCAGGGGTTTAGAGGTTTTCTGTGTTTCGGATTGACCTAGAGCCATCTTAGGTTTGGGTTTGGGTTCCCCTACTTCAATCGAGCGTCATCCTGCTATGGTTTCGAGGTCGACGTCGGTTTGGGGTTTTCGGTTTAGGGTGTAGACTTTAATTTGGGTTTGGAGGTTTAGAGGGTTAGGGGTTAAGGATTAGGGTTTAGAGTCTGGGTTTAGCATCCCTGCCTGTTTCTCGAACAACCTCCTCTTGACTAGCAAGCGCTTGCCCATGCAAGACTCGGGAAGAAAGTCTGGCTGCAGGATGCTGAGATGGATGTCAGCATAGATTAAGGCCGTGGTTCTGCAGCAGCTGACAGTCTCACTAATTCTGTTGCTCGGCTCCCTGCACACAGAAACGGCAGCCACAGCACGCAGGAGCGTATCGGAACCTCAATCACGGCCATGATCGCTATGGGACTGATGCTGTTAAGGTCATGACAGTGGCAGGAATGTCAAGGTGAAGATTACGATAACTATAAAGATGATGAAGGTGAAGATGAACATGAATAGAAGCCACAACTGAACATCAAGAGGAACACGACTTCAAAGATGATTCGGTCATGAAGATGTTTTTGACTTAGTGGCTGAGTTCATAAGCGCCCCAAAAGTGTACACTTTTAGTTCTATAGTGGGTAATATTTATCCCAAAAAGTGTGAAGTGTATCCACGCAGCTACTAAGTTGAAGATGGAGATGAGCATGCTTGATTTAGACGAGGACGACTCTGATTGGAAGATGGAGATGCAGATGAAGCTAGTAGTGATAAAACAGGTGCTGACGATGATGGCGCTGAAGATGGTAGAGGCTACCCGGCACGGAGAGGTTGAGAAAACATAGCCGATTGTTACCCAAGTCACGCGAGACCTTGTTCAGCGGTGCGGATCCGCATGGATAACCCAACAGTCCCACAAAGCTCTTCTCGCAATTGCTCGGGCTCCAAAACAATTCTTGCCGAGCAAAGGACACTCAATGTCTTGCAGCTTAGCTGCAACCCTGCGGTGCAGCCGAGTTGCAGAAAGCACAGGGTCTGAGACCACTGAAACGAAAAACGACAAGTAGGTTATGGCAAGCTCTATTATGAACCCCAAACCCTAAACCCCACGCATGAAAACAAGAAGTCTGACCAGACCGGGTCTGCGCATTTTTCGGGTGTTCTTTCATCTTGCTCTTTGGTTGTAGACCATAGGGGCCGGTCTAGGTTTTAGGTTCTAGGGGCGGGGATGAAGATGTCCTTCTTGCTATTTGGCTGCTTTAGTGGAATTTCATGGCTTAGCTCCTCAACGCATAGACCCTGGTTCTGCAGGACTGAAATCGAACGAAAGACAGATGCACAGAACCCTTCTCAAAGGCTGCAAATGCCCTAGACCGTCCGCGAACATCGATTACTGCTGAGGGTTTAGGGTTTAGGGTTTAGGGGTTTAGGGTTTAGGGGTTTAGGGTTTAGGGTTTACATCGACTGGATGAAGCATGGTCTGGGCCCACGGCGTACATGGCAACCTCGCTGCATGGGGAGATGTTTTCAG